TGGAAGAGGAGCTTCCCCCCCCCCCCCCCCCCCCCAACTGTGAAAGCATCGAAGGAGAAGGCATTGCTTTGTGCACCCATGTGCTACTGATCTGATGTTTGCAAAGCTGCAATAGAAGTTAAATGCAGTATTGAAACCAAGTATTGAAACCATAAATAGGAGATAAAATCAGTGTCTACTGTTTCTACTTTGAAATGCAGCAGTTCTGTCATTCTTGGCATACCAAATATTGTCCTTGCATGTTTTTAATATACTTTTTTTAAGGTCAGAGTTGTAACTATCACTTTTCATGCTCTTATCAGGGTAAAAATAACCTGGCCAATGCTGTACCTGATCTACACTATGTAAGAGTGCAAACTCCTTTTCAAAGGAAAGGACTGATGATTCATACTTTTACTATAGTTTGGCCGTAATATAAATTCAGGACTACATGATTGTCTGTCCACAGCTGGCCTTCAAGATCAAGGGAGGAATACAGCTCTTGTAATTGCAACCTGTCTGCATGTGAAAGTAACTTTATTTTAATTGAGGCTGCATGCTCATAAGAATGGGTTCCTTCTTTTTAGGCTACTACCACTGCCCTTATACTCATTCCCCCACCTTTTTTTTTGCTCCCCTCCCCATTCTTTTCCTGCCATAACTTCAAGCTCCCAGTTATTTTTTTTTCTTCTCTTTCAGCTATTTAAAAACAAACAAACAAAAAACCCACTATGAGCCAGGGGAACAGGTCATGTTGCAAATTTAAAGTGGTAGCATGGGACTTTGTGGCTGAAGATCAAATGATGTCCATATCATGAAGCTGGCAGTGAGATCAAAGTCACAGTCAGAAACCTTACGTTTGTATTTGGAAGGCTCTGGAGGATTTTTTTTTTTTTTTTTTTTTTAAGAAAAGGCTTGCGTGGTATCTGTTATGAATGTTATGTCATACACACCTATTGCTGTCCACAGCCTGAAAAGCATGTTTGACATTAGTACTCAGTAGCTATGTTTGTTTTTTTTTGAGGAAGCATTTTTTGATTGGTTGAATTTATAAATATGTAATGGCATTTGTAACTTGTTTCAGGTAAAATGACTTCAGATCTGCCCTTTCTAGCCTTTTTGTGAATGTATGACATACTGTAGCTTTTGCAGCAACATGCTGAAACAAAGAACCTGACAGCCTGAGGCCTCAGGCTTTCTGGAGTCTTACTTGATTTGAAGCATAATTTTTGTGGTGGTTTTATGTGTAAATGCATTAATTTCCCTAAACTACTGCATTTGCATACACAAATAATTATTGCTGCTTATGCCTCAAAATTCATCTCTAAAATGCCTCGGTTCTTATTACCTCAGTATCTTCCTATTTAGAACAGTATTGCCAGAAAGCCCTTTGTGATGACATTAAAAGCATACCAAGTAATCACATTTGGGAACTGTTTCTCTTCCCCTCCTTACCTCACTCCAAAATGTGATGTTTATATTTTTCTTGGACCCCAAAATAACAGTGCAGAGTGGGCTAAATCAGCTAGCCACAGCTCCCTAAATGTGTGTTCCTTCTGTAACTGGCCTGGTAGCTTAGCTTAATGTGTGCTGGATTTTCATGTCTGTATGAGGTTGTTTTATGTCTGTAAGAGATTGTTGTGTTTTTACCCAGAAAAATATCTATGTTTTGCCTGTAGAACGTGACTAATGCTTCCCAGGATGCAAAGATGCTGTGAGAACAAATTCGTTAATGTTTGTCAGGTGGCCTATTACTATGGTAATGGGTATCCTATAAATCTAATGCAGGGCTACGTATTCAAAAGCTCAGTATGCATTTCATGGTGTGACAGTACTTACAGTTGCACTTCTTCCATGTGAGCAGGAGCTTGATATACACTAACTAATGCAGAACTATAAACATTTCATTTTAAAAATAGGTCCTTGTTCTCGGAAGGGCAAAGACCACTTTTGGAGTACGAATGAGTGCCATGTCTTCCTGAATCTGCAGATGGACCTTGTGTGGCATCCATCGCTCGGCATTACCAAGTAATAGCTGAATCCTGGCTGGCGTTAACTGCTGTCAAGACCCTAATGGAAATTGATAATGCTGTCAAAATTCGTGTTAAGTGTGGTGTTAGCTGTTTTGTGGAAGGCTGTTGGCTGCACCAAAGGCATGCCTGAAGTTAGGAAGCGAACTCAGAAACCAAGATGGAGGCAGAGGAAAAGAGCAGCAGTGGACTCTGTTTTCTTTATTCACTGAAGGAGGCTGGATACACTGGATGGTGGAGAGAAGAATAAAAACTCCTTTCCGCTTGCCCAAGGGCCTTGAGAAGAATAGATCATCATGTATCTAGCATCTGTAGCTTACACAACACACAAAGTGAAGAAAGATTATGTGCGCATGCATAGTAATAATAATACAAATATAATTTTAGTCTTTTCTGGGGAAGACCAAATAAACAAGGCTTTTTGCCATGTCTTGTTTGATCCCTCTGGAGGCCCCATCTTCTCTTGTAGTTGTCCTAGGCTTCTTATCCTCATGTTGCAGGTGGTGATTTCCTAATTTTAAAAATATGTGCAGGCTTTTCTAGGACTGCAAGCAGTCCTTTTCCAAAACAGCCTTGCATTACATTGTGGGAATCCTTTATCTCCTGTTCTACTACATGAATAAGATAATAGCTAGTTCTCTTCTCAGCTTGGACAGAGCTTCATATAATTAATCATAATAATGAAGCATCTTTCCTTGGGGTCCTAGAGTTGATTTCTGCTTTGGCATCTTGTCTTAATACTGGAGACTGCAGGCTGCTTGGGGGAATGTATCTGAAGGACGGAGAACATATGTAGGACAGGGTACAAAATATGCAAGGTCTCTGACTCAAGCTTATTCTGGTGATGCTACAGGGCGACCAGCACTGGTGACCTGACCATGCTGGGATTCAAAAAGATTTAGATACCCCATTTTGGGGCAAGTGATAGTGGCTTGGTGCCAATTTGAAATGATACTATTTATTTTTAAATCATTGAACCCTGGTCAGAATTTGTTCATTAGTCTGGTCTTGTACCTGACTACAGCCCTCCAAACATTGCTTTAGTTCTATTTGTCATTTATGTGCATGAAAATCAATTTTTTTTTTCAGTCCTGAATTTTAAATATTTTTCACTTGACTCTTTCCAAGTTGACAAGAAAAAGCAAATTTATATTTCTAAACTTGGCTCAATCATGAAGTCAGTAAAGTACCAGGTTCTTGCCTTAATTTTGTTTCTGGAATGAGTTGCCACACACTGCCTGTGATGTTAGAAGCATGTTGTGTCATGCTGCATTGTTCATGCCCAGGCCCCTGAGCAAGGAAGGGAAGGGAAAGTGTTACTCGGTGGGTGCGCCTGCACGTGTGCTTGACTGTGCAGTTGTAACATAGTTACAACCCTACTGTGCAGTAGCAGCCGTATCATGGTTTGTGCCTGCAGATGAGATGCTACAGCAATGTAGCATGTTGACGGGCCCAGTATGTGCATCTCTCAGAGTGAAGGTAGAACAGATTCCTTTCTAAGAAGAAAGTTTGGCTGGAGAAATCATAAGTCTTGGTATCTTCTTGAACAGAGTAATCTGATGGTATCGCTTACTGACATTAGTAGATGGGCACTTGAAGGAAAGATTGAGGAAGATTTCAGTGTTTCAGGGGACCAGCCTGGCTGTGGAAACTCAGGAGGTTTTATGGATAATACTGTAAGGATTTGATATATGCAAGAACAAACTATAAATTGTTATGGGTATCTCTCTTTTTTCCATCCCATAGCCAACAACACAGCAGTCTCCTCAAGATGAGCAGGAAAAACTCCTGGATGAAGCCATCCAGGCTGTGAAGGTGCAGTCTTTCCAGATGAAGCGATGTTTGGTAAGAACATGTCCGTCTCCCATCCCTTGAGATGCAATAAAATCTCCCGGTATGCTTCTGATATGTATGCAGGCAAATCAAATTCACAACGTTCATTTACTTGACTGCAGAAACATAGCCCCTTATGCATTTTGGCAGTAGCCCTTGTGTTGAGTAGAAGTGACTCTTCCAGCGAAATGTAAAACTGGAGCACTTCTTGAATCAAATGGATTCTGCTGCAAAGGGAAGTGCCGATAGCTGGCATTCTAGCAAAACTTCAGTATGTTTCATTCAGCATAAGGAAATGAGATTGGCATAAGTCTTAGGAAGCCTAGCATGGGTGAAGAACTAGCTTCGTTTGCCAAAGAATTCTTAATGTTCGATAGCTGAATTTAAATATGAATTTGAGATGCTCTTGAATATATGACAGCTTTATTGGTGTTCTCCTTTTTCATATTGTCTTTTGCCTGTAGCCAAAGGGACTGGAATGATAGTATTATTTGACATGGGTGTGTTCTTTGTTCAGGTTTAATGCTATCTTAGCATTTTCAAAACAGCCTTTGGAGAAATGCCAGCTAGGCATCTTTTTTTTTTTTTTTTCCTTTTTAAACTGGCATAACTGAAAATTGTTTGACAGAGTATTTGGAAATGGACACACTTTCTATATTGTTGAGACTGAAGTACCAGTGGTAGATTATTCTCTCCCCACTCCATACAAACACTGTAGTAGCTTGTTTTATGGAGATTTGTGTCTAGGCTCATGGAAGAAGGGGCTGCCTTTCAGGGTGAAGTGCCAGATACTCATATATGGCATTATCTGTGCCTTTTGTTTTGTCATTCTCTGCAATAATAAATCATGACTGTTTATAACATTCTGCTATTTTTATTGCCAGGGAGGGGAAGACTAGAAGGGAATCTGGCCCAAATCCTTGCAGATGTTTGTTCTAATAATGAGAGCTCTGTTTAATCTGCTGGAGCAGGGGTGGCTAACCCACAGCACAAGGGGTGGTGGCACATGGCAGATCCAGCAGGGGAGAACTGCAGCAGATTAGGGCAAGAGGGAGAGAGCAGAGCACAGGGATTGGATTGCCCCTTGGATGGGTTGGGGTTTATCTTGCTGCATGCCTTTCAAAAAGCTTGGCCCCCATGTGCTAGACAGCACTTCCCAAACTCTGGCAGATTGCGCACCACCACCAATTCAAAACTATATGACCTTAAATACCATCAGGTGAGGAGGGAGGTGTATGGGAGGTTTGTGAGGGGGTGTGGCTGTGTATGGGGGAACAGAGGGTATGCTGGGGAGTTGTGTATATGTGGAGGTAGGGTGTGGGTTAGGGAGGATGGGGGGTGTGGGGAACCCCCCGCACCCTCTCCATGGTGCAGAAGGAGGTGGGGGTCCTTGGGGCACAGCTCCAGCCAGCACTGCATATCATGGTGAGGGGTGTGCATCACCGGGCAGTCTATCGCTGGTTTTTCCTGCACTTGCCAGGCACAGGAGGGAAGCCCTGTGTGCTGGAGCTGGCTGCCTTCCCTCCCATACTGTGCAGTCCCAGTGGGGAAGGCAGTCCACAACTCTGCCAGCTTTCACTTCTGGCTCAATCTCATCATGAAGAGTTGCAAAGCTGTTTTGTACCCGTCTTCAGGACGGGACAGAATTGATACCCAAGTGTAAATAACTAAATGTTGTCTTTATCAGCTCCTAGATGTTCTAGATCCCTAAACCAGGAAATGAAAAGGATGACGCTTTCACTTTCTTTTGGAAAATCTAGTTTAAGTATCTCTAGCCTGGACCGGTCACTTAACCTAATTTGAAGCAGCTCACCCACATAACACCCTATGACATGTAAAATGGAAGGTGGGACAATTACCTCCCTTTTGTAGTTCAGACTGTGTGGTTGTCTAGACTGGAGAATAATCAACACTGCTAATGGGTTTTTTCCTCTCTTGCATTTTGGTTTTAGGACAAAAACAAACTCATGGATGCTCTGAAACATGCCTCCAATATGCTTGGGGAGCTGCGGACTTCTATGTTGTCTCCAAAGAGCTATTATGAACTTTGTATCTTTTGCAAGGTAATAGGTAAATAATTTGAGGCACTATATGTTGGATTCTATTAACTCCTCATGTCTTTTTAGTTTATAATTCTTAGCAAAGCTGAAGTCTTGCTAGTACTGCCTTATTCAATGTTCTTTTTATTCCCTGTTAAAACTTTTCTGAGGTAGTCCATGATTTCTCTAGAAGTGTTTACATCTCTGAAAAATGTGAAGCAGCGTAGGGACAATGGAGCCCAGGACTCTTAGCGGATCATTTTGGTGCTAATAGACTTTATGGTTTTCTTTGGCTTGCACGGGAGTCGGAACTAACTAGTTCCTAGGCTCCTTCTGCCGGGAAAACAAGGAGGTTCCATTTTTACCTTTGCAGCAGTCCTACGTCTCTTCTTAATCTATAAGAACATGCTGTAGATTAGGCAACAGCTGTTTGCCCCTTTTTTATAAAAGCTGACAGACTAGTACAGCTAATTTCCTAACGTGATCTCTTGAGCAGGGAAGGAACCAGAAAGTTATTTTTCATAATGCTGTTAATACAGGGTGATCATATCACCCTGTTCCTGTAGTTTACTATTGTATTATAAGCATGCTACTTAAGCTAAAATGCTCCCATTCCTCCCTTCCCGTTTCTGCTTTGACTTCTTCCTCTTCCTACTTCTGGTTTCCTTTCTCTATATCCTTCCCCACCCACCCCAGGATCCACCTTCCTCTTTCTCTGTGCTAAGGAACTTCATGTTCAAGTTTTCAGCTGCTTGTTAAACTCCAGTTTCATGCATCAAAGTTTAAAAGAAAAAAAGTGCAGTGTTCAGTCTTGTTGGGGTTTTAAGCCCATTTGGGGCAGTGTCTTTATCTGAACTTGCTTTGAGTCATCCTTAACCAAAAGCAAAAAGATATGGCTATTTCTGATGAACTGCACTACCTGGAAGTGTACCTGACGGATGAGTTTGCCAAGGGGAGGAAGGTGGCTGATCTTTATGAACTAGTCCAGTATGCTGGTAATATTATCCCAAGACTGTAAGTAACTGAGAATGGAAGCCTTCATGAATGAATGTTGCTTGCTACAACTTTGGATCTAGCAACTTTTAACCTGGAAACTTCTCTGATTGGGATTTCAAGGTCCTGAGGTAGCAAATCTTCTAGTCTAAGGCACTGGCCATAGTTCTGCTTAAGATTCTTAGGCCACTGAATATGGTGCCTATTATAGCTAGTTAGCTATGCTGTGTCCTGTGGTATTGTACAAACAACTTAAATACTTCTCAGATGGCTTTGTAAAATTATTACTTGGTAATTCTGGTAATTAATATTGTCATATTTACAGACTGGAGCAAATATATACATTAATGTAGCTGCTTTTTCAAATGCTCTGTTTAGTACTTGGAGTCTAATTGATGAATGATGGAACAGATTTTATTGATGTATATACATGTAGTTTTAATGATTATATGGTGTAGAGAATGTCTCTCCATGTAGAAGGATAGGGAGAAAGTCGGTCAGTTTTTTTTTTTTCCTACTCATTTTCATATTTGACGTCCTTCGCCATAAGAAAAAAATTCAAAAAGACTTGGTAAGTCTACTAAGTAGAGGTGCACCGATACATCAGTCCAATATTGGATTGGTAGCAATATAAAGAAAATTCGCTGTATTGGATATCAGCCCAATGAGGCTGATTTTAATTTGACTGATAAACGCCCATGCTGCACAGCATAGAGCAGAGCCAGCAGCATGGAGAGCTGCCGGCAGCTGGTCAGTTGGAAGGGGGGTGCAGATCAAAACCCTCATGGTGATGGGGGCAGGTGCTGCTTGGGCAGGGTCATGGGGATGGAGGTATGGCTTGTGGCAGGTATGGGGCAGCTCCCACCACTGCCTGCACTGTGGGAGGGTAGCGGGGAGGCTGTGCCCCCTCCCCCAGTCTGTGTGGGGAGGCCTGGAGCCAGTGCTGTGTGGCTCTTGGCAGGAGCTGGGCTCAGAGGGGGTGCCAGCAGCACTGGGAGGGGCTGCAGCCACACCAGATTTTGCCACTGCTCTGCTTGTAGCCTTGCTGCCACCAGGCGCAGCCTGGATCCATATCTCTCCTCCACCCACACACTGGGAAGAGCTGGAGCTGAAGCTGCGCTGAGCAGCTGGCAGCAGCGGCACGAGAGCCAAGTTGCGGTGAAATTTGAGGTGGCTGTAGCCCCTCCCAGTGCCGTTAGCACCCACCCCAAGTCCAGGACCATCAAGAAGAGTCACGGAGCACTGCCTCCAGCCCGCCTGCCCACCCCGCACAGAGCTGGGGGGCACCCCCCGGCCCCCCTCCCGGGGAACTGCCCCACTAGGAGCCACAGCTGTGTCCTGTGCCCCCACCTGGGCAATGCCTGCTCCTGCCCCCTGCCTTCCTCCCTCACTGTGGGGCCATTGATTCGGCCCCCCCTCCCCTCCAATGCACCTTTCCTCCCCCTTCCCTTCCACCACAACAAATTTACCACCTGGAGGCCTTTGTATCAGATCAGTATTGGCTGTTATGCCTCCTTAAATAACAGCTATCCGTATCGGCCCCCAAATTCTCTGTCGGTGCACCCTGACTACTGATGTATAGTTCACTTGAAACTAGTGCAGAGTGTCTGTATTAATGGTTATATATACTTGGCCTTCCTTACCTCTTTTGTTGGTTGAAGCTGTAGGCTTTCCTGAGTGTATTCTTTTGCCCATGTGGAGCCCGTAGTACAGGTCTCCAGGTACAGAGCAGGTTTCTTGTAAGGTTAGGACCTTAGAAACCCCCGTGCTGCATGGGTGCTGAGCATTCCCAGTTCTACTTTAAGCCACTGGAAGTGTGAACTTGTGGTACTTGGTATATGGCCTCACAGTTATTAACTTTTCCTAAGGCTTTTTCCAGTAAATCCTTACATGCTCTTGCATCTTGGTATTCAATAAGGGAATGAGTACAGGGATAGTCATGAGAAGCTTGATTACAGTCCTCCTAGGCTAGTATTTTGTAGCGTATGACTCTTCAGTAGTTTCATCTTGTATTTTTCTGTATCAGTGGAAGATGCTTCTTCTCTACTATCCTAACAGGCATGTTAGGAGCACTGATAAGCTAGTTTTTACAATGGTTTGATATATAAAATACTCTAAAAAAGATCAACTGTTTACTGCTACCAAAACATACTGTGTCTTTCTGTCACTCCGCTCATGGTAAATGCAAAGTGACCATTCACTTAAATGCTTAAATTTTCATATACCCATCCTTTCCAAGAGTCTTGATAGGGTGGAGAGGTAGCAGAAGCAAACATCAGCCCCTAAAAAGGCTGTTGCTTTTTATTTAAAGTTTCAATACAGAAGTTTTTTCCCCCAGTAACACCTAATTATTTCCTTGTGCTTAAATCCTGTACGTATTAATCAATCAGATTCCTTAATTCTGTTTTTCTTTTCTAGCTATCTTCTGATAACAGTTGGTGTTGTTTATGTCAAGTCCTTTCCTCAGTCCAGGAAAGATATTCTGAAAGATCTGGTGGAAATGTGCCGTGGTGTACAGCATCCTTTAAGAGGCCTGTTTCTTCGAAACTATCTCCTTCAGTGTACCAGGAATATCCTGCCAGATGAAGGCGAGCAGACAGAGTAAGAGAAATGTGATACGATGGCAGGCTGTCTGCTTTTTGAAATGAGGAATATGTGGATACCTTTTTTTTTTCTTTTTTGTTCTACATTCTCCAGGTGTGAAATGGGTGCACGTTTCTCAACTACTGGTTGTCTGGATAGATGATAGAAGAGAAATCCTATCTAGTCTTTTAGCTTGGCTCTTGACTTCTTCTCATTTTGTTTTCCTAAACATGTACAGTCTGGCTCACTTTAAAGCCTTGGGTGGAAATCTCACTTCTGAGAGTAAGAGGGGGCAACTACTTTTTATTATTCTTAAATATATCTGTAGTGGAAATAATTTCTTTAACCTCTATCCTCCATTATAGTGAAGAAACCACTGGGGACATCAGTGATTCAATGGATTTTGTGCTGCTGAACTTTGCTGAAATGAACAAGCTCTGGGTGCGAATGCAACACCAAGGACACAGTCGAGATAGGGAGAAGAGAGAGCGGGAAAGGCAGGAACTTAGAATCCTAGTGGGAACAAATCTGGTTCGCCTTAGTCAGCTGGAAGGTGTTAATGTGGAACGATATAAACAAGTAAGATGTCTTCACTCTAACGCTTCCTTGTATCCATATTTGCTGTTGATTGTATTGTTTAGAATAGTACAACAAAAAATATAGCAATATGAGTAAAATAAGATTACCCAAAGATCTGAGACCTGTTCCATCAGCTTTTTGGATAATTGATATATGTATGTATACTCAAAGTGGAAGTTAGCTAATGAAGATTAAAGCTGTACTGAGAGATGCTGTGTATATGTAAGCAGTGATGAACAACATTAGTTCAATGTAGTGGTTCTCAAAGTGGGAGATTTCTGTAGACTTGCCTATATGGACAGCTGTATTACATTTCCAGTAAGATGGAAGCTGTGAATACTAACATGGAAAATTTAATCTACTGCATTGATTTACATTGCATGTAGTGATAAGACACTAACCTTTGACCTGGAAGTCTAAACTTTACATGGCTAAACACTAGAGAAACTTTAGGAAATGTATTTGTAGTTTCATGATTCGTTTTAATTTTATGTGAAATGAGGATGAACAAAGGAAAAAATGCAACATCTTTTGTTCCTGTTGCAGATTGTTTTGCCAGGGATATTGGAGCAAGTGGTAAACTGCAGGGATGCTCTAGCTCAGGAGTATCTCATGGAGTGCATTATACAGGTAAGGTGAGGAATGGGGCAAAATAGGGCATGTAAGTGACTATTTTGATCAGTTTATGGCTTGTGAGGGGTGGGTGGTTGCATTGTGCAGCTCTTGGGACCAAGTCATTGACTTCTGTGTAGAAAAATGTAGAAACTTGATGCTATCAGTGAACTAACTTGGCCTCTCTTATTGAGCTATAACTATCACTTGCGAAAGCTCTTAGAAGCTCTTCCTGTTCTATAGCAGATACCAAAGTATTCATTGTGTATGTGGTTTTAGTTACTTGACCATCTTGCTGCTGTTCACCACCATAACGCAGCCTTCCCCCTCCTCCTTTTTTTCATTGGTGTTGGGTTGGTCCTTTTTAGTTCAAGGCTCTGAGACTTCTGGGTGGTGTCTTGACCCTTGTTTCCTTATGCTGTTCTCATAATCTAGTGTCTGGTAGAACAAACGGCAACTTGTGGGCATGGGTAGAGGAGTGTGAGGTTGGCTGGCTAATTGGTTTGTTTGTTTGTTTTTTCCTGTCTACACCCAAAACTTCTAATATAGTCTCCCTCCTTGTTTTTCTGTCACAGTTGGTCTAAGCTTACTGGACAGTAAAACTGAGTGATGGGAACAGGTTTGCTTGAGTGCTGAAGTATTCCTTCATTTTATTCCCATCTGTCCAGTCTTATTCTACTTGAGTCTGTTTTGAGAAATGAGGACTCAGAATAGTCTTTCTTGCACATCATGAAACACTTGCTATGCATTTATTTCCTTTAACTGGTAGTGGTGTTAATGCTCAAGAGATGGGTAATGGCATACGCACACTTGGTAATTTTTTTACGTGAATTTTTAGGTTTTCCCGGATGAATTTCATCTCCAGACCCTGAACCCTTTCCTCCGAGCCTGTGCTGAGTTGCACCAAAATGTGAATGTGAAAAACATAATCATTGCTTTAATTGACAGGTGAGTCTGGGGAAGCATTTTGTTGAATAAATATTGGCTCTGTAGAATTTACAATGATAAGTAGTCTCAGTGCAAACAGTTTGTGACCTTCTAGACTCTTGTTCCTTTGAATTTTTAATACTGTCTGATTTTTTTTTTTTTTTAACTGCGTTGTTTCCATACTTTCAACTCTGATTTTTCTAATTAAAATAGAATAACTTTTTGTATCTTACCAGATAAGATAATTACGTATGTTGCTTTCATTGATTCCCTTCAACACTGATATTATATTTCTAAAGAACAATTGTTTTTGTTTTCTTTGAACTCTGTTTTTGCAACTTCCAGTGATGCTGCAAGAGTTGATTTGTCTGCTGTTAGAATTGATACAACCTTGTGAATCCTCACTGAATAATTTCTTGGTTATTCTTGGGGAAATGAGCAAATGAAGCTAGCTACATAATTAAGAGCTCAGATGTGGTCTCATGAACCAGAGCAGCAGCCACATTCAGCCTTGGAGCTTGTATTTTTGCAGTTACGCCTCTCGTGCAAGTCTCTAGCATTTCCTTGTACATGTGCCTTGTATACCACACTGGCCTTTTAGTCCTAAATGCATGTTGTGCAGGCTGAGGAGGAAGCGTTCCTTTGAGGAGGCAAAACATGCTTTGTTTTGCAGACTTGTCTTTTGAAATAAGCTTTTCCCTTGGTTTTCTATTCATAATTGTAAATAGCTATGATTTTAACTCTTTCTCTTATTCTAAATATTCATGCTTAGAGTACTCCATCGCAAAAGTTTTGTTCCATACTACTGCTCTTTGTAGGGGGCAAATCAGTATTCTCCATGCTGTGTGTATAAATGCTTACTGCAGTAAAAAAATGCTTACTTTTTTTCTTCTCAGGTTAAGGTGATCCCAACTTCCAATCCAAATCGGAAGATTCGATGCTGATTCAGAGGATCAGCAATTCGGCCATAGAAACAGCGTTAAATGTTTCTTATCATACCTCAAGGTACTAGGTGCAGCTTGTGAATGCTGCATTGCGTTGGGGTGGATGGAGTGTCCCACTGGAGCTTGGCGGTGAACCCAGAAGTGGACTGGAAGTACTTCCAATCCATTTCCTGGTCCGCTGCGGAGCATGTGGGCCCCCCTGCCCCCGCATACCCCTGGCTCAACAATTGGCTGCGCAGGGGACCCTGGGTGCTCCCCACCCCCAGATTCAGGAGGCACCAGTCACTGAGCTGGGGGGGCCCCCTGGCATGCTCCCCAGCAGGCCCGAAAGTGGTCCACTTCTGGGTCCACTGCTCAGTGCTCTGGGGATCCCTCTCCCCATGCTCCCATGGGATGCTTTATCCACCCCACCATCTCAGCATTTACGAGCTGCCTGCTACCTTGAGGGGTGTAGAAAAAACATTTAAAACTGTCTACGTCCAAATCGTTGAATCTCTCCAAATTGATTCAAAGGGTTCCAATTCAGTTCAGAGAGATTGAAGGGTCTCCTGATTCAATTTGTATTTGAATCGGGCCAAATCTCCACCAAATCAAATTGGGGACCAAATCTTCGCACAGCCCTAATATAGCCATTATGGGAAACTTGAAGATGCTTTTGGTGTTGTATCAGTCATGTGCAGGCAAGACCCAGCTGTATAACATGCTTATTTCTGCCATGAATGGATTGTTTAATTGGTTGTCCATTTCTGCATCTTGATTTCAGTCTGGTTCTGGAATACCTGAAGTGCAGAGGGAGGCTTGGAAGGTTTAACTCTAATCAACTCCCTATAATCAGACCTTGCACAAATTGTCAAGTGGATTAGTAGCTTTGGGTCCTCGGTGTGTCAAATTCCCTGTGCACAGTGGGTACAAATGTGGCTTTCTCTGCAGCTGGCCAGCATGCTGGTAGACCCTCCTGAGTCTCTGAACATACCGCCTTTTATATACATTGTGTTGCCCTGGATAATTGCCTTGATGCTACAGCAGGAACAAGGAGGGGAGGTATCTTGGCTTTTGAGTGTGTGTCACAACTAGCACAGCAGAATCATTGGCAACTTCACAGTGTATGGGTGGGTTAACTCCAGTCTCGTGCGGCCCTGTCACTTTTATCAGGAGCAATTCATCCTGGCCATTGTGTCTCTTCTAGAACTCTGAATAAAACTTGCCTTTTTAAAAAAGGCTTAACCTTGTGTTTGACTATTGATGACTTGCCACTTGGGGGTAGGGGATGGGTGTGTAGCCTCTTCTTCCAGGGACTTTGTATTGTGAAGCATTTGAAAGATACTAAGCAGCATTGGTGAGAGCCTGGTGCTGTATTGCTGCCACATGGCAGGGAAAACATTGTTTTGCTCTTCTTAGAACTGTTTACCTCTAGCGAATTATTATTTATTATTATTATTTTTAAATTGGGGTGGGGAGGAGTAGGGGTAGGTGGTGTGAACATGACTTTTGATTTTTCCTTCAAACGTAGCATCAGGAGTAGGCAACCTATGGCCTGCAGATTAGATCTGGACCATGAAGAGACTGGATCCTGTGATAGCTCAGGGAACTGACATCAAGCTCCATCCACAGCTGCAGAGGATGGGCAACAGGACTCTGGGGAAACATCATGTTCAGTTTTATTCTCTCTGTCACAGCAGTGGTGGTAAATCTTCATGGCATCTGCTGACTTGGGTGTGTGTGGGGATGGGGGGCAGGTTGCAGGCAGCAGCCTGCAGTAGCAAAAAGGTTGCCAACCTCTGATCTAGATATTTCTAGTGTCAGATACTAATAGATACTGCTCCCTTCTTGCTCCTGTCTTTGGCAGATGTATGTTCTCTTCATAAACAAACATGGCTCTTTCACACTTGGAGACTCCCTTTTTTACTGTTTGCACAGGTCAAAGGTGCTGATCTGACTTCAGCTTCAGAAATCAAATGTGTGTATTGCTAGCGATTTAACTTATTTCCTAAACACTTTTCTCTAGAAGCTACTTCAAAGCGGAAATAAAACAGTGGTTGTCTATATTAAGCAGTGCCTTCTACACAGAACACGCAACGTGAAGGGCTAAATCGGAATATAACTGGTGTATGGCTGTCCTGGTGTAAAGGAGTAGGATACATGCACGGAATGTGAGGAGATCCAAAGTTGAGTTGCTTTCCTCTCTTTTTGCAGACTAGCTTTATTTGCACACCGTGAAGATGGCCCAGGGATCCCAGCAGATATTAAGCTTTTTGACATCTTTTCACAGCAGGTGGCTACTGTTATACAGGTGTGTTGCATTCTGCACTTATACAGTTGTTTAGTAGAAAGTTTTACGTTCCTCTTGTGTCTAACTTCATGCTGTTTCAAATTCCAGTCTAGACAGGATATGCCTTCAGAGGATGTAGTGTCGTTGCAAGTATCCCTTATTAACTTGGCTATGAAATGCTATCCGGATCGTGTTGACTATGTTGACAAAGTGTTGGAGACAACTGTGGAAATCTTTAACAAACTTAATCTAGAACAGTAAGTGAACTTTTTAACTTTCTGCAACAACCATGTGAAGTCAAGTTTTACTTTTCCCATCCAAATACAAAACCAAGACACCTGCCACACAATCTTAAGATTTGTTTGCCAGCCAACAAAATGTGTACTGTTGCATAGATTTCTGACCTTGTCATTCACTGAAGGTGAGTGTGGCATCTTGTGGTAGATCGGCTTCTTCCCAACTGAATCTTGCCCAGAAATTAAGAGGTCTAGAATAAATTGGGTGTGGTTTTTTTTTTTTTTAAATTTGTCTTATACAGATGCTTTAACTAGTCCTGATGAGTATATAGCATTCTGATTTATGGTGTAGATATTCTAGACTATTTCTAAGGAGATGCAAATTATATATAATCATTTTTCCTTGAGATCAAAACATACAGCTCTTTATAGCATTTTAGTTAGCAGTGGTCCTCAAACTGTTTTGGCCTGTTAGCAACATCATACTTGGCTCTCCCTGCCAACCTTGATTCAAATTCCAGTTTACTCTCATCTTGAGCAATGTCATATTAGTTTGAGAATCACAGTTATAGAAACAGATTATGCAGTGTTCGAAAACTATTTGGAGTTGTGTATGTGGCTTTTTTTTCCACTTACATTTTTATTGTTCTTCATACTGAGCTGAAGAGAGGATGTTTTTGCTCGGGTAGGTCAGTTAATGGTGATAAGTGTCACTGAACAGAAGTTGCTTAAACAAAACAACCAAACTATCCCTGTTTCTCAGTCAGATGATTCTTCTACACTCAGATTCACACCCCTTTCCTTCTGTAGCTCAGCTCTACTTCTGGCCTTCCATTGCACAGCTTCATAGTGATCTAATGATGGGTAACATGCTGTTATGAGCAGCCTTCCTTCTGGAGGGATTGATCACAGGCACAGTAATTTTTTTTTTTCTCTTTTCCTATTCCTCATGATGATCATGGCCATAATACTACCCCACTACTACTGCTATCTCAATTTGGAATTTGTCTCAACTTATACCTTAATTGCCATCAGGCTCTGTGTAGAGGGGTTTTTTTTTTTTCTGGCCTACTATAGCAAGTGGCTGAACATACATATTGCAACATGTTCACACAGTTACACTGTCTTGTTAGGAAACATCCATTTCTAGCATCTGCTGCAGTGTTTTGAGTTTTAGCATCAATGTGTATGAAAATATGTATTTTCTAATCAGTTTCTTCTTTTTTCTTTTTCTTTTTTAGTATTGCAACAAGCAGTGCTGTTTCAAAGGAGCTAACTAGACTTTTGAAGATCCCAGTTGATACCTATAATAATATCCTCACAGTGCTGAAATTAAAACATTTCCATCCACTCTTTGAATACTTTGACTATGAGTCCAGAAAGAGCATGAGTTGTTACGTGCTTAGCAATGTACTGGATTATAACACTGAAATTGTCTCTCAAGAGCAGGTACAAACTAGTACAGCTAAATACTGTCATGAACCTGGATGTTTTCAACTACACAGCTAGAACATAATTGGAGAGTAGGGAAACAAATGCAAGTTGATACCCTGTTTGTCATATGCACCTTTCTCCCCAATAGTTCCAATTTTTATCTGACTACATTTTACCATATTTTTTATATAAAACATTTACTAAATGCTGGGAATATGGGTGCACATTAAGTGAGGAAATACAGGTATAACACTTTCTGTATCAGAAAACGCTGCTGGGGGAATGCTAAAGTTATGCTTGATATGCTGCTGCTGCTTAACATGATCATGCTGCTGCTGCTCTGTGGAGCATGCTGACCTCCTAAGCTGCTGCTACTCACTTACTGTTACTAGAATTTCGGGGATTTTTTTCTTTATTCTGCCATTTGGACAAGGTGGTGCATATTTTATAAGAGACACACCCTCAAATAAAATCCCTTATTTTTCTTGAGTGGCTTCCCTTCCCCCCTCCTCGATATTTGGAGGAACCAGGTGTATCTAGTTTTCTTCACTACCTGCTGAATTACCTTTCCTGATTCAGACTCTTTAAAAACTAGGATCTCCCAGGATGGGATTCAGTACTATTTTTGGGGGTTGGATTTGGGATGGGCAGATATTTTTACACTAAAATGTGTTGTGTTTTTTTTTTAAGGTGGGTGTACCATCAGTTTTACTGTAAACAGGTATTTAAACAAGCTTTTACAGAAAGCTTGTCTTCAAGCATCTGTGTACTTTGAGAAATGAAACATTGCTCATTCCTGCTGGGTGACCTGGAGGAACACCTATGGAGTAGAGGATACATACATTTTTATACACAAAGGAACTATCTTAATGATTTCTCAGAAAGCACTTGGTGCACTCTGTGCAACGAATAGCTCTTTAGACTAACATATAATGTAGAAGAGGTATTCCTGATCAACTCCATCAGTTTGTGCTGATTTGTGACCTGTTGAATGGACTTGGGCTTAAACCCATTGTTTTTTGGATACAACTTTATTCATTGCTTTCATAACAGGTTGATGCGATCATGAATCTGGTATCAACGTTGATCCAGGACCAACCAGATCAGCCTGCTGAAGACCCTGATCCTGAGGACTTTGCAGATGAGCAGAGCCTTGTGGGAAGATTTATTCACCTTCTGCGTTCAGATGACCCAGATCAGCAGTACTTGGTACGTCTCTTTCCACTCTTCTAAAAGCATTCCATGCTTCTCAGTGCCGGCTGTAGTAATTGCTTATGGTTTACATTTTGTTAAGAGGGGCATAAAAATATTGGGAGCCCAAGGGAACAATTTTCAGGTGATAGTTTTAACGACTATTAAGGCAGAGGTGGCTTAGCTTTATTCACTATGCAGCAATTTGTTCTTGTGGTATTGCAGAAAGGAAGGAGTGACTACTCTTAATGATCTTTGCTGTGGGCCAAGTTGTCAAAGTGGCCTTCATTCTTATGTGAAGTTGGGGGAGTATTATCTGTACACTGTAATATGTGTTGACATGGGCTCAGTAGGTAGTAACATAGCTAATTTTTAAAGCCATTGGTGGCTTGAGTCCCTTATGGTGTCCTCTCCACTCCAGTGTGCAGATCTTCCTGGGATGGGCAGCCATGAGAAGCCATAGAGTATAATCAGTGTCCATAGTTAAACTTGGCCCCAAAGAGCTCCCTGGAACATACTTCCTCAAGTTCTTTTGGAGTGGACCCCTAGCTTCCTCAGCTTCACCATTCCTCGGCTCTCATGACGTGAAATTCACTAGCAAAGTGTGCATCTTGGCTCCCTTAGAACTGGTCTTTATAGCTGAAGCAAGTTGTCTTCAACCAGTTACTGTGTTGATTCAAGTGGCAGAGCTCTGCTTGACTGGTTATATGAAGGGCCTAACCCTTTCATGAATTGTACATTGTCATAATTTTTTGCAGACAAGTTTTAATTCTGGCATTTCATAACTTCTTGCAACCTTATTAACACTTTCACTGTGTACAATAGTATTATAAAAGTAGCAGGTATAAACTGATGGAAGCATCTGCTGGGACTTCCTTTTGTACTGAATACAGGTGATCTAAATAGTAAGGGGGCTTGGTTTTCAACTGTGTTATAAAATCTGCTTTGGGTACTAGATTTTGTGCTACAAGTTTTATTTAATGCAGCTACCACACAGTGAATTGAATCTTGTACTTGCAGTTGTATAATCTAGGAGCTTGTAACAAGTCCAAATTAACTACACCTTTCTAGACTTACAGTGAAGATGTGCACTTGAAATTGAAATAATTCTCTGCTTTCTTTCCATGACACCTTTTACATCAAGTATACTGTTGCATAGGGAATATGTTGGCTTTGTTTTTCCTGTTCAGAATATTCTCTTGTGCCTATCAGTAATGTATCTTCTTAGGATTTGCTAAAGCCCTCTTAGATGTTTTGTCTAGGTGGGGTTCCTCACCTAGCAGACTTCTTGGATTGAGATACTAAACTATCACTTAAACTGCAGGTGGAATGCAGGTATGCTCTAAAAGGGTTAACTTTGGAGTGTGCATGAAGGCCCATAAGACTTATTGTTGTGGTGATTTGCAGCATAGTTTGTGCATATGAGCTTGCTGTAAGGCTGGTTTTAAGTGCCATTTGCACACTGTCAGCATGGGACTTGGTTATACACTAGAGGTGCACCGATGGATCTGCCCGTATGGGATTGGCACCTATAAAAGGAAAATTGACATTATTGGCAGTCCAACTTTTTTGGCCAATGTAGCCAATAATGTCTCTGATAAATGTGCATGAGTGCAAGCCTGGCAGCTTAGAGAGCAGCATCTGGCCAGTAACTCTGTGAGGGGTAAGGGACAAGGGGGTGCAGATCGAGGCCTCTACAGTGAGGGAGAGAATGGGACTGGGACAGGGGCAGGCGCTGCCCGGCTGGGGTAGGACGTTGCACAGAGCTGCGGGCAGCTTGTCTGGAGGGGAGGGGGGGCTGATCCCCACCACTGCACACAGCCTCGGGGCAGGCATAGGGGGCATGTGCCCCCTGCATTGTGTGGGGTGGGGGAAGGCTGCCTGCTGCAGGTTTGAAGCCAGAGGCTGTGCTGGCCTCTTCCCGGTGCTGGGGCTGCATTCAGGGCAGGCGAGGGTGGGGGCCTTGATCTGGCCTCCCTCCCCCCCCACAATCTTACTGGCAGGGTGCTGCTCTCCAAGCTGCATACCGGCTATTGGATTAGTGTTGTCCAATATGGCTGGCTAATAATTGGCCATCAGTATTGGCCAAAATATCTTTATTAGTGCACCCCTAGCGTATATACTGCACAACCTGCCTGGGAGGCAGGGTTAATATTAGGGATTGCAAATATAATTTAACTAATACCTGGTTAAACTGTGCTACTGATGATGCGGGTTAAACTGTTAACTGATAACATATATTTAATGTGTGCTGGTCTCCTCACTCCTCTCTCCCTTGCAAGTCAGTGTGTTGCAGGGAGGTGGAGGCAGAGCTGCCTGCTGCAACAGGCAGGCAGGGCAGCCGTGGTGCTTGCTCAGTTGCTTTTCTCGGGCACTGCACTGCTTTTCTTTCCCATCAGACCATCTCTTATGCTAAACGTCAACTGTAACACATTACCGGTATAAATATGCTTACTGTTTAACCTTTCACATCCCTAGTGAATACTTGGGCATTTAGTCTGGAAATAGGCTGTCTGTGCTGCAGTGTTGTGACTGCTATGTAGATGTCCCTTGCTCATGGGGAAATTTCATCATCTGCTTGCTGAACTGTCCACCCTCCTGTTGCCACTTTTGTAAATGTGAATGGGATAGCTGGACTAGAAGCAAAGTAAACTCTGCTGGCAGTGACTGGCACGCTATATTTACCCTTCTAGAAACTTTTCAAATTCTACCTTCACATTTAAATCTCTGAACATTTTGCCACCTTTTAAAGTATTCTGGCCTTTCAGAAATCTCCCTGTACGCACTTTTGTTTTTTATTATTACAAATTAACTGCTCATACAATACTACTGTAATAGTTTCATGTTTGTGTTGCTGAGCAAACTCTACATGACAATAACAGGGAAGGGCATAATTTGTTTTCTACTCAACGTTTAAATAAACAAGCATTGATTGTAATTTTTTAAAAGAAACTACTCTGAGCTATCTGACCCGGGCTCAGTAATGTAAGCTTTCACAAGAGCCTTAATTAAATGTTTTTTTTTCCTTTTGTCCAGAAAGAGAAATTTTGTCCAGAAGGAGATCAGAAATGCCCTAATCATTCAAGCTGTTTAAAGGGAGGGAGGTTGTGTGTGTCATTTAAAATAGGGATACTGATACCTAGTTCTCTTGCCAGTAAAATGCTTTGAAAACCATGGCTGAAATGCTCCATGTAAAACTTAAATATTTTAGCTTACTATGTGCTTTGCGTAAGTTTGTTGGTTTGTTTGTTAAATTGCCTCACAACTGGGAGGACCCTGGTTTTTCAAGAGTATGCTTTAAGAAAAGCTGTAGCACATTGATTTGCTCATTGTGGTCCTAGTTCTGATAGCAGCTAGAGTAGCAAACCAGAGTGTGTTGTATGGGGGGTTTTTTGTTTTTGTGTTTTGGGGTTTGTGTTTTTACAGAAAAAAAGGAAGTGGGGGAGAAGGCAATCCCCACCTTTTTCAGGTGAAGGTTTCTAGGAAAAGCTTCTGAATTGTGCTGATATATGGCTAGTCTTGAAATAAGCCATAGACATCCATATAGACTAACTGGAACTAACTTCTTGTATTTCTCGTCTCTGATAAAACTCACCCTTAATTGCAAATGACTTCCCTCTGCTTGAACTGCCTTACTGGTAGATGCTCGTGTGAAAAGGGTTTCTAGTATGCTTAGTAAGATAATGGGGCATAGAGCGGAAGGATCTATAAGTAATGATAAATGAATCTGGAATTTCAAAAAAAACAACAACATCCTTGAAACGGCAATTTTGCTGTTCAGTGGTGAACTGTTGCTAAGCTCTCTTGTCCATTTCTCAGCTTTTCATCATGCAACAATGTGTGCACAGCAAAGTTATTCTGAAATCAGGATTATCATCAAACTGGCTTGTATGCAAAGTGCTGTCAGCTCTCCATATAGACCTTACCAGGAACTGAGGGAGCCAAACGCCATCAGGAAAAGATCTGCATCTTGCAGGGTCAGGTTTCTCCATGTGGTACAGTCTCAAATAATTCAGCGACTCCTTTCATGTACTGGAGTGCTGACAAGCTTATGCCTGCAGAAGAAATAACTGCAATAACTGTTTGACTGTTTTGCATACCAATAACTTGTACACCTAAAGAAATCTCTTAGCTGGCCTACCCCTTTTTTGAAAGATCAAACAACAATAGTTGCTAAAACCTTATGGCAGATTCCTAATTGTGGGGATAGAATTCTTCTCCCACCACAGGAAAGCAGTGGGTCTGTTTGCATATTCCATTGCAAGCTATATCAATCATTGATTAACTACTTTGTCTTAATTGGAGATTTTAAAATTGCATGCCCTAAAAGTGGCCCTGATTTGCAGGACAGGGAATCCTTTTTAAAACTAGTGTGACTGGAGAAATGTGTGAAAGATGAGCAGTAGGAGGAAGGACATAATTCATAACCAGTGAAAAGACCAGTCTTCAATAGCTTGGGGTCAAAACGCTGGATTTTAAATGAAAATAGGTAGACCGTATTTGGAACCTAGTTCTTGGCATCTAAAAGCTTTTTCTTGTAAGAGAAACCAAGGTAAACCTCTAGTAGCAAAGCAATGAGGGCAGTTTTTCTCTTGGTGTTTTTCAGGCTACAAATACATTGGTTTCCCTAAACCTCACATGGATTGGGTGACTTTCCTGAAACTTCCAGTTCATAACTCTTCCAGTTTCAGTTTTTAACTCCTTTTAGCACTTCAGGATTTTCCAGTCAGATTGACCAATTTTTAAACTAGTGGCCTTTGAAACACTTTTTAAACCTGCCTTTTTTGACAGAATTCTGTAAATTACTTATCAAAGGTGTTAGAAAACGCAGTGATTTAGAGAAGGGAAACCATAATGGTTTATTGATGAGCATCCTTGATGCTTAGATCAGCATTTTCTTCAGTTGCAGTGGGGTGGACAGCGGGGGAAAATGTTTAGTTATCACAGGATAATCTGTCTATTCAGTATAATATGTAGGACTTAAATTCTGTATGGAGGATAACTGTTTAAATTTGCAG